AATTTGAACTTACCACAGTAATAATGGTTATCACATCTATGCACTATGTTAGGTTAAACTTCATGCTTTTTCCTTAAATATATACATTTAGAATAGAAACTTCATTTGTCATAGAAAACTGTTAAACATTCTTTGTATTACCAGTTTATTTTACTGTTGACTCATGAAAGGTTCAGCTATAATAAAACGTTAAACTTAATTTATTTTTAAAACAGTAGAGAGTAGAAGGTATGAATTCCCTGCTTTTTCAGAACGTGTGCATAGATAATACTTTTAAAATTCATACTTAGAGATGAAAAGAATCAAAAATATTTTTGAGAATAACTTTAAGTAAAATTTACTTGACAAATTGAAAAGGACTCTGATTTTGATAGGTTTAAGGGTTTCACCTGTAAACTTTGTTACTATTACCATATTAGACTCATAATTTACCTTGCTTGTCTCCTTTTGCATTGCTTATGTCTCCTTTTGCTTTTTCCATTCTGAAAAAAAAAAAATCAGCTATGAGTAAACATGTTGTATTTAATTGCCCAACACTAAAATTAGTTGTCTCATTGCAACTTTAATGCTTTGTCCTATCAGTAGGTTTCTTAATTAGGTTATCTTAGAGACTATTATTACTTTTAGCGAATTTCCCTACAGGAAGGCGGGACAAACTTGAATGAGTTTGCAAACCAGCATAACCAGACTATGGGAACAAGGTGTTATCGGGTAAAAATTAGTTTTTCTAATATTTGACCCTTAAAACATAAAATTTCCCAAAATCTCTTTACACCATAACAAAAAAATTAAAAAAAAAAACAAATAATTTAGTATATTGGAGTGTTTTTGTGCGGTTATTGGTTATGCTGGAAATTGAATCTATATATTAATTTGAAACTGTTTTTCTTTGTCACAGCTATTTTGAGAGAACGGCTGGGCGTAGAAACTCGGTAGAGGTGTCTTAAGAAAGGTCTTGGTCTGTAGATGAGCCATCAAAAGAGAAACATGGTGAATTCCCTTGGGGCTCTTCCCCTGTGGCCTTTAAATTCCCATCCCATGTTATTCTTATGGAGGAAAACGGGGTTTTTGTCACAGCTAATTTGAGAGAACGGCTGGGCGTAGAAACTTGGTAGGGGTCTCTAAAGAAAGGTCTTGGTCTGTATATGAGCCATCAAAAGAGGAAAGAGGTAAATACCCTTGGGGCTCTGCCCCAGAAGCCTTTAAAGTTGCCTCTTCAGATTTGTTTACATTACGACCATATGCATAATTCTACACTACTTTTTAATGCAACAGCTGTTAATATTTAAATTGTGATTTATTGAATTTGTCAAAATGAAGTACAGTATTTGCAACGGATTTTTCTGATTTTAAAATTGATTTTCTTCTGCATTGTGTCATGTTTTGCAATATAATGTTCTATTACCAAATCAATGGAAAATCCTAATATCACAGTAACTTTTAAAATGATTTCTTATGGAGTTAACTTATATCTATTGTATGGGTTGGTTTCTGCCTTTTTTACCACTTCTTGGAGATTGTACGTAGGTGATATTCTTTGGCATATTGCATCTGTAGACGAAACTTGGGTTGGTGTAATTATTACAATGGAAAAGAGCGAGAAATCTTGGACAATTTGATATAGGCTAAAAATAAAACTGAATTAACACTGTGCTACATTTCTTGAGCAATCATTTAAATAACCGATTTGCAAACAATGGAAACATAGAAAAAGTCATAGAACACAACCAAGTAAAAGAAATAGAAATAATGTTTTTTTTTTTACACTAAAAACACTAAAAAAACAAGATCGTCTTTTTGAAAAAAGATACGATATTTACAAAAGATTTTGATTATATCAAACTGTTGTGAAGATCGTGAGTATTTCCATAATCTTTGAGTCGCCTGTAATGCTTCGCAATTGCTCGAATTCGAGCAACAGGTACACTAGTGAATTATAAATTTAAAATCCCCATGTTATTCTTATGGAGAATAAGTAAACTGTTGTAGTTTGCTTTTTTATGGATATATTTTGATCAAACTCGGCAAATTTATTTATTTTATACTAAGTTTTTCATATTTTACAAAAAAAAAAAAAAACAAATAAACACACACACTTTATTATTACCCTCTCTGTAGCAGCAAACCTAAGTACATTACTTGTGAACCTAATGTTGTATAAATAGGTTCAATTGAAAATCCAATACTGGTAAATTCACTAAGTCTGCAGGTTTAATGCTGCGGCGGATGTATTTCTTATTTCTGTTGCTAGTACAGCCGATTTCTTACACATTTCTTTAATTAATTTAGTTTTAGTGCTGTTATTTTTTTAAATATTAGGATTAAATGTTGGATATTTAGTTTATAACTGCAAAAATGAGTAGCATCAATGTTGTCTTCTAACAACTATTAAAAATTGGAAGACAGTTGGACCAAATAATAAAAATATTATGGTTTTGGAAAATTTAAATTTGAAACAAAACTAGCTACCAAACCCATTAAACCAAAAAAACATTTGTAATATGTTTTGTTGTTTCAGTAAACCTAAGTATTTTAGCAAATTTCCCTATAAGGAAGCAGCTTTTACCGTAGGTGGCATAGTAAGAACTAGACCCAGAAACAATATACTTTTTCATTTTGATGGCCAAAGAGGCCAAAAACATACGTCTGTGAATGTAATAACTTGAGTTACTTTTGTACAATTTAGATGAAATTTGGCTTGAAGATGTTGAGCGGGATAAACTTGAATAAGTTCACGAACCAGCATGATCGGACCTTGGGAAGGGGTTTTTATGGGTCAAAAATTAACTTTTCTCATTTTTGATCCTAAACACAAAAAATGTCCCAATTTATCTTAAAATATTTTAAAGAGCTTAACTATACAAATATTTTTATGTCTTGAGGTGTTTTTTTACAGTGGAGAAAAAAACACTAGTTAGCACTAAAATCACATTAGTTAACAGAGAAAATTAAAATAAAATTTAAATTAAAAATGCCCATGTTATTCTTGTGGAGAATAAGTAAACTCTTATATTTACTTGTTTTGTTAATGGATATATTTCCACTAAACATGGCAAATTTATTCATTTTATCCTAAGCTATTAATATTTTACCAAAAACCACTTTATTACCCGTGGCCCCTGTAGCAGCAAACCTAGGTACTTGTTAAACCTGCTGTTATTTAAACAGATTAAATTGAAAATCCAATCAGGTAAATGGAAACTTGCTTAGTCTGCAGGTTTGCTGTGGCAGGGGTATTTTAAGCATGGTGTTATTCATGTTTAGTGTTCATCACTGTATACATTTACACTTACTATTTGTTTCAAATGAAATTAATCAAGATTAAAAATGTTCTCAGTAAAAGATGTGATGAAGGTATTTGTTAAATTGTTTCTAAATGAAGAATTGTAATTAATTAACTATCGATTACAGTTACTTCTAGTGTAATTTAAACATGATTTATTTGCCAACAATGTTATCGCTAATTTAGAATTACCATAAAAATAGATGTAGTAACTTTGATCAGTTATTCAAAACAGTAAAATATCTATTTAACTCTAAAAAATAACCTCACCTGAGATAAAATAACCTTCAGCCACACAGCAGCACAGCAGGAATTGAAACTAAAGTAAACGTCCGTTTAATTTTTATAATAGGGATTTCATCATTTTTACTAGGTGCAGCAATTATTTTTTACGGGTCTTACTGCAATACGATGTTATCTGGTGAGTTATGCTGGTTCTTATCAGGCAATGATGTAATCTTTGACTGTCTTGATAAAATATAGGTTCATGACTAGATTTAAAGAACTTAAATTGGGACTTTATTGTCTCTAAAGGATGTACTTATGTTTAATAATGTCTTGTGGTTAGTTTTAGTTTTAAAATGTACAAAAAATATGGTATTTTTATTGTAATATATAAACATTGTTTCTTAAAGGTTTACTCACATAAATATTCCAAATGAAAAAAGTAGTAACCCACTCTCAAGGCTGGCTCCGCAAGAGGTTAACATTTAGTTGTTAATACCAAGTAGACTGACAAGCTTAGAGGACTACCATCCTTGAGCAGCCTCAGTAGGATAGGACAGACTGGGTGTAAAGCTCAAATACAATTCTATAATATCTATAGATGACCCTAGATCAACTTCTCACTTACAAAAGCCAATTACAAAAATTGACAGCTAAGTAAGAACCAGAACAAATAATCATCTTGCCAGATCTTCACTGGGAGCCAACGTGCAAGTTCTACATACAACGACCTTGTCTCTTTTTTACTCTTATTAAACCAATTACTATAAATAGCGCTTTGTCTGATCAATGCTCAACTGAAAAAGCCCAAGAGAACCCTGAAGCCAACACCTCGGCTAATGTAATGATTTTGTTACAGCTGTCGGCTTAGCAATAAATGTTGAGTATTGTAAATATATGTTTATATAGAGAGGTTGTATTGACATGTTTTTACATGATTGTGCTATAGGGTATTACCATGGATAAAACATACTCCGTTAGTAGATTTCTCATTCTTATGGATCATCTGAAGCCACTTTTATTGTTAGTTCTGTCCGGTGCAGTGTAAAGGTAGTTTTTTTTTACAATTTGATTCTTATTATTTCAGTCATTTATAATCTCGTTTAACCAAATAAAATGATCTAATCATAAACAATAACTTGTGTCCTAGTGATATAACCATACAGTAAAGCACAAATGGTAAATTTAACCCTAAAATAAAAGAAACAAAATTTTTTTAACACTAGTGATCAGTGTCACCGGACATAAACTAGACACAAAAACCAGACTTAAAAATTTACAATGGGATCAGAAGTCTACTTGTTTTGGAGTCTATGGTATTACTGATGTATGTGATGATTTGTAATACACTAGATGTGTATTACTGATAAATATTGGAAATGATGCAAATAAGTACGGTATGGGTTCATCATATATAACATATAGATTTAAACACAAAATGGATTCATATTCTTGAATAAATCAAATTGTTAACTAGTGGTTGCTGTTGTAGGCACACAAGCTGGCCAGGGTTCAGAGGCGTGGTGCCACAGCAGCTCTCACCTCCATAGCCGTCCGTCTTGGTCCCGATGTCCCCACCAAACTGCCCCGACTGTGGGAGAGTGTACTCACACACCTACAGGACACTGTTGGTGCTGCTACCTTTGGTCAGTATCTGTACTTAATCATGCTGTAGATGTTGACCAGCAGAAATCAATCTTTAAAAACCCAGTACACAACCTTACAAATTATTTTAAAACTTAAAATAGTGCTCTATGCATTAACAGAAGTCAGTCTTCTTAGATTGTAAGTATTTTCTGTAAGCAAATTCTTTGCTTGTGATTGCCGCTTGTTACATTTTAAGTAGGTAGTGATCAAACCAAATGACATAAAAAGTGTCAGCAGTGCTTTGAATGGTTATTTTTGGCTAATTAAGTACTGGCAAATGGTTTTGTTTAGGTATTACAAAAATTACTGACAAATGTTTACTTTGTGTCATTTATGTCCTGTTCTGATATAAATTACATTTGTTACAGCAAATAAAAAAATGTAAATATAAACATTTTTAACAGTTTTTGTCACACTATTCTGTATTAAGTTCAGAAAATTTCTGTTTTCTGCCTGCTTAATCAAATTGGATTCCATTTCATCCTACTGTACGGTAATAAATTTTGCCAGACACCAACTGATTGTAATTATTTTTTAGCTATTGAAAATCTCTTACTCTTATATTTTGTAAACATGCATAATTATCAACGTAACAAACAACATTTACACGTAACTAAGTTCTAGATAAAATCACAAAAACATTTTGTGACTAAGTATTTTGTTATGGCAGTGAGTGGTTATAAACAGAAATATAACCTCTATGAGAAGTTATAAGCATTGATTGTAAAGTCTGTCAGTGGGGACATATAACAGTTTTTGTTATTTTTTTATCGTCAGGTTAGTTTTAAGAAATAGGGTGAAAAATATTGTACTTGTCCAAAATGTACTCTTTATTGTAATAAACTCGTCACGCATGGGAACAACCATACTTGTCCGTTAAACACCAATTTTCTGGACTAATAACATAATGTACTATAGCAGTGGTAAAATGGCTTTGTTTAGCCGTATTGCTTCTCACTGTGGTAACATTGTTCATTTACATTTGCCAGATGTGAAAAGTGCCATACACAATGACTCATCTGCCGAGGATCTAGTCTCTAGTATGCAAGTTTTAGAAGTTGTGTCTCCGTCCCTTCACTCAACTCTTCTACCTCAGGTTGGTAATCTTAGTTTATTATCACAAATTCTTACTCTAATCACTATTCATTATTAGTTTTTATTGTGGTAAAAAATATTGATGTGAGATTTTGACTGTGAATAATAAACCTATGTACTTTTATGTTTATTAATTATTAAATGTAATTTAAATATCTCACTAGCAATGCCAAATTTTCATCGTAATTCCACGAGATCACTACTTACTCATATTATTCCACTACTTATTCCACAATACAGGCTAAGTAAATGTGATGTGAACCACTCCATAATGTGAATAAAACTGTGAAATAAATGTATTTTAATTTACCAGAATCTGTATTTAAAGTTAGGCTACACAACTGTTTGGGTAAAAATCCTTTTCACAATATTAAAGAGTGTTTTGATTGTCCAGTCATTCAAATTTAACCAATAGTGTACTTGGGTAAAGGAGGTATGGTTTGAAAATTGCCTTATCAGGGTTAGGTGAGTGTAAAGTAAATCCGGCTTTGAAGGGTTAAGTCAACTTGCCTGTGATATTTTTTATTTATTTATTTGTTTGACAGGTTTTGCCAGTTTTAGATCAGCTCTGTGAGCTGCTGCAACATCCGTACAAGGCTGTGAGGCACATGTCTGCGAGATGTGTAGCTACTCTGTCCGCCCTGGACACACCTAGAGTCATGGAGGTAACTCAATAGCCGCATTGTGTTTGAAACTATTTCTATTAAAATTGGCTAGCTGCAGTTTCTTATGTACTGCATACAGAGTTAGCCCACTGACTTTTGAAAATGATGGAAGATAAAGTCTTAATTAATTCCGTATCTGGAGTATAATCCTGTTCTTAAGACTAACAAAATGTAACAAAACATTTAAGTCAGGACACATTGATTTAGTACACATTAAAATTATCATTGTATTTTGGAAGTATGAATATAAAGAGGAAACGGTATATAAAATCTGGTGTCAACCGTAAACTGGATCTCATGGGTTAAAATAACGTTTGGATATGCTGAATCCAAAATAATGACAAAACAATAAAAAAAGTATACTAAAATAGAATTATTTTGGTCATTAAGATTGGAATTACAATTAGTTTTTGTATTAGGGTATGATATTAAGGATTCCAGATTCCAGATTACAATTAGTTTTTGTATTAGGGTATGATATTAAGGATTCCAGATTCTATCTATTATGTGTATGACTAGGTGCTGGTGACCAGGGTAGTGCCATTGCTAGACGCAGCAGATTGTGTCACCCGGCGGCAAGGTGCCACAGAGTGTTTGGCCTGCGTCGCCGAGAAACTTCAACTCAACATTGTTCCATACATTGTTCTACTAGTCGTTCCACTGTTAGGTATGAAGCCAACCCCTTGGTCCATGAAGCCCCCATTGCTGTCTGGTACTTTTTCACTTTTTTTAGAAAAGAGATTGGTCTTTCCATTTGCAAAGTTATCTAAACATGAATTTAACTTAATAAAATACAAGTTGTAGCAGAATTGATCTTTGATAGAAGGCAATTGGCACTGGGGTGCGGGACAACCTTGCTCACCTGAACAGGTTTTATTTATTTTTGTTTATATATTTATTATTTTGTGTGGATCATTGTCAACAGCATATTTTAAGACAAGAGTTCAAATTCCTAATTGGGTGTGTTTTATCTTTTTATATGGGACAAAAATGCTTATTTTCTCAAAACTTAAATAATAAAACTTAATAAACAATTTGATTTCTTAAAAAAAGTTATTAAAAATGTGTTTTAATACAAATTTAACAGATCAAACCTTTGTATACATTACAGATAAAGAGTTTATTGAGCTCAGTTGCATTGCAATTAACAACAAACAATTTTACTGAAAGTTTGAATTATAATTATTAATTGATGAATTATTATTTTGTGGTCAGCTGTATTGAACTGACCTCATTAGCCATCTAGATGTATTGGTTTGAACTAATGACAAAACAATACATCTTCGTAACATTGAGAGCAGTATAGTCATAAAACAAAAAAGATATTAACACTTTTATGTCATGTCATGTTGGCATTCCTGTTTGTCGCTACAGGCAGGATGTCAGACCAAGATTCGTCAGTGCGGTTGCTGGCCACACACACGTTTGCAGCCCTTATACAGCTGATGCCTCTGGAAGGTGGGGTTGGTCCTCCTGTCAACCTCCCATCCACACTATCTCGCCAACGCGATAGAGACAGAGAATTTCTGGAACAGCTATTCCATCCAGGAACCATCCCGGACTACCAAGTCCCTGTGCCTATCCGAGCAACCCTACGGTCATATCAACAGGTGGTTTGGGATTTTTCAATATTAGTTATTCAAAACTCAATAATACATTAGGGTAGCATCCGAACCTGGATGCGAACGAAGGATCAGGTGCTTTGAATTGGAATAATAAACAGATTTAATTTAAGAAATCCGCATTGGCGTGCGGGAACCGGTGAAGTAGGACAATAACTGAAGGTACAGAGAGTCTCGGGTAATCGTGTTAGCATTGGGAACGGAAGGTGGTGTGATGAAACAACCAATGGGGTTAGTTTATTCGATCTGAAGTAGGGCTACCAATGCTACCGTAGACATTGTTGTTTTTATAGACTAATTTGTGACAAATTTTTGATAATTGCTTTTCAAGCTTTGAAGTATTTTAAAATTGATGAAGGGGTGAGTCTCGGTCGCCGGAATATTCTATGATGAGACAACTGCTCTGATACAGAGTTGGGAGGTTAGAACAGTTAAATATTTCAACCCTCCATTTATATTTGGAATAAAGCAAAGCTTTTGTGACGGTATTGACAGGGTTTTTATGAGGGTGTAGCAAAAAAACCTCCCCAGGTGATAAGTAATTGGTCTGAGAATTTTGGGGCCGTCACACGGTGAACAAGGTCTATAATGTATTATATAATATCGCTTAGAATAGAATTAATACAGCATTTTACAAAATAGGAATTTAAAATCCATAGACCTGTGGTTTCATTCATACCCACAAATAAGTTAAATAAGTTTAAGTTACTTATATACTGATAATTTTCTGTAATCTCTTACTATTTTTAGGATCGTGTTGTGGTTATGTAGGTACTTTTGATTAGATAGCCACTTGAATGAATCATATTTTGTTTGTTTATCAATCAATGCCAACCACTCATTATTTTATGTACAAATAAACAATTTTTATATTCATTCATGATTCCAATAATAACATTTATATTTGGAATTTTTCTTTAGAATAAATTTTTATTCTTAAGTTAAATGTTTCAATCATGTCCCTCCAACAACTACTGGGAAAACTTGTTCATGCCATTTTGTCACCCAAGCATATATTCTGAATTAATTAGGGGCCTGCGGGCCATTAACAATTTGGCATGGTTCTGGTCTACACAAACTACAAGTCTTTAAAACGGAAAAAAATAAATACCTCAATTTAAAGCTAGCCTTATATATTTAAGTTGATGAGATATTCAGTTACTAATTAAGTAGTGCTGTTATTATGCTAGGTTGAACATTTCATCAATCCCAAGTATGTTAGGTCTGTAAATATAGTATGTTTATGCCTAGGCCTACTTAATTCTAACAACAACAAAATACTACACTTTAATCAATTTGAAATTATAGCATTTCACTTGGTTTTCCATAAGTAGTCCTACATTACATTTGTATCTTGGTTCGCCCTTTTACGTTAGTGTCCACTGGCCTTACTTCTTAGCTGATAATAATTTTGACTTTCATATTTACTTAACATCTTGCTTAAAAATGTTTTGAATATTAATACGACACATTCAACTGTGTAAATAACATAGGAGAATAATCACTCGTAGCAATGTATTCATCTTCAATATTGTTTTTGTTCTCAGGCAGGAGTGAACTGGCTGGCATTGCTGAACAAGTACAAACTCCACGGGATCTTGTGTGATGACATGGGTTTGGGCAAAACACTGCAGTCCATCTGTATCGTGGCTGGGGACCATTACACAAGGAGCCAGAAGTTTAGGGTAGGTTTGAAACATGAAACAAAAAACGTACCAGCAATAAATTCTTTAGCAAGAGTTTTTTTTTTTGGAAAATAGGTTGCTGTTCTGTAACCAATGGTTTTTTGAAAATGAATTAGAACCATACCATAAACACTGTTGGGGAGACATTAAAGATTGGTCGGTTTTTGAAGTAGGTTAAATACTTGTTACTTGAATTTTAAGTAAGTTTTTATGCAATAATGAATGGAAAATTTTGGTTTTGGTGCATTGGTTGTTATGCACTAATTTGTTACGATCTTAGGATACTATAATGAAGTCTTTGTAATCCTTGGGAATGGTCAAGATTTTGTCGTGCCCCCAGGAGATGATAATGATAAATATCTTTGTGATCGGGGGGCAATGTTCAATGATTTTACAAGACAATGAAAATGTTTTCACAATTGCGAGAGAGAAAAAATCAACAAATAATGAAATCAAAACTGAACCAAAACCAAACTGATTAAAATCATGACCGACTCATTTTTATGAGACGTAAATAGTTGTTTGGAAGCCAAGATCAGTCTGTATCACATTTAGCCACTTTACGCAAGCTGGTTAAGTAGTTTAGTCACCTAGCTGTATGGCAATGTCTGTGTGTTGTAGGAGACAGGTAGTGTTGACTCTGTACCTCTACCCTCACTGGTTGTATGTCCTCCTACACTCACAGGCCACTGGGTGTATGAAGTAGACAAGTTTCTGTCACCAGAATATCTCAATCCTCTTCACTATGCTGGACCTCCTGTTGAGAGAGAAAAGTAAGTTTTGGTCAAATGCATAATCATACTCATTGTAACAAATCATCCGTTTTTTTTATATAAATGTATTACACTTCCTAGTGGTAATTTAAAACAAATATTGTATGCTGATAACTATTCCAGTAAAGTAGAACACCAAACATTCCTGAGAATGTAATTTGAATTTTTTTTTTTTAGAAGACATTTAAAAAATAATCTTATTACCAAGGTACTATATTATTTTGTGATTTTGTAATAGGAAGACACCATCAAAGTTATTTCAATTGCTCGTTCTAACAGAGTTCAGACGATATAAAAAAAAATCATATTACCAAGGTACTACGTAATTATTTTGTAATGCTCGCTGCAAATGGAAGACATGATCAGTGGGATAATTATTTAATTTGTTCGTTTAAACAGTTCAGACCAAGTTACGTTCCTAAAATAATAGGGTATTCACTAACAGTAATCTATTACCAGGGGTTTTTTTAGGTGAAACTTCAGATATAGTATTATTTATAACCGTTACATTATATAACGCCCAACTCTACTATAAAATTTGTTTGCAGGTTGAGAATAAAAGTGGCACAACACAATTTAGTTGTCGCCTCTTATGACATTGTTCGCAAGGACATAGATTTTTTCTCCAGCATTCAGTGGAATTACTGCATTTTAGATGAGGGTCATGTTATCAAGAACGGTAAAACCAAGGTTAGTTGAGAATTAATTTTCAAATATAATGTTCATCACACCCTCTCTGAACCGATCCTAATTTGACTAAGCCTAGGTTGGATAACCTTAAAGGCCAGGTGAAATAAGCAGCTTTGTAAAATTAAAGTGTGTTTTTCTTCTTTATCTTATTCCTGTGTATTAATTATATTTTATCACCGAGATATGAAAGGAAATGGAAGTCTCTGTATTCCTAAAAAAAATTGGTTAAGCACATTAAGGGCATTTTCCACACATTGAGCATGGCTGTCAGTTAAACACATTATTTTACATGAAGGGCACTAAGGCAGATAAAGAAACCTCAATTTTTGCCAATTCCACTTTTTGATCCAGGTTTGGTTGAAAGTGGTTTTATGTATCCTCAATTAATAGGTGGTTATTAATCAATTAATCATAGTTACTAACAAATTAATTATAGTTTTACCATATTATCATATATAACTTGTTAAAGTTATGTAAATAAATACTAACTACCTACCCTGAAACCTTATAAATATTTATATTTATCTGAAGCTTATTTCTCTGTTTAATACCAGTCGTCCAAGGCCATCAAGCAGTTGAGAGCCAATCATCGGCTGATCCTGTCAGGCACTCCTATACAGAACAACGTGTTGGAGCTGTGGTCCTTGTTTGACTTCCTCATGCCAGGCTTCCTTGGCACAGAGCGGCAGTTCACAGCCAAGTACAGCAGACCCATCCTGGCCTCTAGAGACCCCAAGAGTACACCTGCAGAGCAGGAGGCTGGTAATACATCGATTTTACATAACAAATTATCTCCCAACCAAAGCTGGAAAATCACAATTAAAAACCACGTAGAGAAATGTGGACCAATGTAATCCAACACAAAATAAACCCCTTGATTACACTAATTTTATTTGTAAGAAAACACAAACTTACCACTACAAAAAAAATGAACTTAAAACAAAGAACATTTAACCTTGTTAGAATGAACTACGAGGTTGATTTTGGCTGTTTTAAACTAAGAGTACCAGGAGACTGAGCTTTGCTAGGATTGAATTAAACGTTAAATTTATTAGATCAGCTTGCTTAGAAAGTAAGTACTGTTTTGGAAAAAAACATACCGATAATTTTTTTTCAACAATAGTTATTTGTGCAACTAGTGAGAAAAGTGAGCAATTGGGAAAAACGAGCCGTAGGCGAGTGAGGAATGGTTTCTCGAGTGAGGCAATTGTACTTTGAACTCGAGTTGCACATTATACTTTTTCCTACAGTTACCATAAAACAAATAAATTTGTGAAGAAACATAACCTATTTTTACACAGAAGTGAACTTTTAATAAAACATTTAATGTAAAGTGACAAATACAACAGTACAACAGCTGACCAGCTGATTTACAGCCAGTGCTGCCAACGTATTTCGCGCGCATACGACGTTGCCTGCATGTTACGTGCTCACTATTTCGTGCCTTCACGTTGCAAATCTGGAGTGAGACAAAGTAATTAGAGTGAGACAATGTTAACATTGTCTCACTGATGAGCGAATTGGCCACTTTGCTTTCTCAAATCAGTGAGAGAACATGTACTAGTCCAGGCGCTAAACGGGTTGAGTATGCACTGAAAGTCTGACAAAATTTGACTTTTGATTATTGTTGGGGACATCTAGTAGATGAAAAAAATCGATGATGTCGCATTTCTAGGGTGGTCACAACTCGGGGGGGAGGGGGGAAAATTGCGCGGGTCATAGGTTTACGTTTTCGCGTCTACCTCACAAACGGTTAATGATAGAAAGGTGGTTTAAGCGTTTATCAACGCCTAAATATATTGTCTTTTAAAAAGGTTATTACAACCTTTCTTCTATCTCTTATACTTTAGGCGCTAATCAACATTTATTGCAAAAAATAAAATTTAAAAATACTTTAAAATGAAATATAGGAAATATTGCGCTTGTTTAGGGCATGTTACAAACTATTTATGGTTAGAAAAACTAACAAGTGGTACAACAACACCAAGTTTAAAGAAATCCGTGCAAAAACAACAGAGCTACGTTGATTTCAATAAAAGTAAACGTGGAAAATTCGTAGTAGTATCGAGGCGCGCATGGATGGTACACGTAGCCCACAGTCAATATAGGTTTGATGTTGTAAGTAACTATGGGAAAGCTGAATTTTTCTATGCTGTTAGACCATGTTGAGATGAGCATTTTCCCAAAAGTCCCCACTCCTACCCCTTTGTGCTTTCCTCTACCCCCCCCCCCTTTTAGATAAATTTACAGCCTCTTAGAAATTAAGCTATAACTTTAAAACGGGTAAGGATAATAACGCAATCTTTTATTAATCATTTTGCGTTACGATATTCTACAAAAAGTGTATTTACCATGGTATCAAAAATATTCATAGTTAAAAAATATCATAAACATAAAAAAATATTTTTTACGGATTAATTTATGAAACTTTTTTTGTAGATTTTTTATACGAGGTCGCACAACAAAATGTTTGATACAAAATTTGGGGTGCATAGTTTACATTTTAAAATGATACATAGTTATTAATAGTTTGTTTGCATATAGTGGTTATAGATAGTACAGTACCTATATTGATTTTACAGGACTCTGGCTTTTTTGTGCACCGCAACAATGAAAAAAAAAAAAACGTATATTATGGTTTTTGTATTTGAATTTGCCGCTTTATATAGATTATATTAACGTTATGTAGCTCATTCAGTACATATACAGTCTGTAGTGGATACATATGAATGAATATCGTGCATTTGCTGCTGTACGCCAGAGCCTCATTTTATTATACAGGGTGTCTCACCTAAAGTGAACCAAATAGATAACTTTTTTATTATGAGATATAGAGTTAACTTCTTATGGGACACTACCCTTTATTTTAAGATGATTTTTAGTGGTTTCGAATTTTAAAGATATGTTCGCCATTTTCCAATATGGCTGACAACTTTGTTAGTCCTATGGAATACCCAGTATTTTATGATTGTTTTAGAATGTAAACGAACAATTGTTAAACCTTTTTATTCTTGACATTTTTCTCTAAAGCTACTTGTTTAGGAGTTACATCGCAAAAGAAATGGTTTGTGAGTACATCCTGCATCCTGTAGCTCATAAACGAGTAAGTTTAAGAGCGGAAATACAAAGAATAAAAAAGTTTTCAAATCACATCTACATTTAAAAAAAAAACCATAAAATAAATTGTTCCAATATCAAAGTAAGCTAGCATTTTTGAAAATGGTGGCCATTTTTAAAACAACAAAATCAGTATTTTTTAACGTATTTTATATATTTTTTCGAACGAGGACTTATATGTGACTTATTTATTCTTTGCACTTTCTCTCTCAACTTACTCGTTTATGAGCTACAGGATGCCGAATGTACACCACAAGCCTTTCTTTTAGATATAACACGCTGTAATTCCTAAATAGGGTAGGTTTAGAGAAAAAAAATTCACGAATAAAAAATAGCTTTTAAATTCTAAAAGAATACTTAAATACAGCGTATTCCATAAGAAATAACAAAGTTGTTGGCCATATTGGAAAATGGTGGGCATATATTTTTTATTCGTAACCATCCCTAAAAACATTTTTTACAAACAAAAGGAGTCGTCTAATAAAAAGTTAACTCTATATGGAAAATAAAATGTATGTATGTTCACTATGTAATCTCAACCGGGATGAAACGTGTACCCTTTTATAGCAGAATGTCCAATTTAAAAAAAGATACGTAAATTTTGGTCTAACAAGTTATATTTAAATGAATATGAGTTTTTTTTTTTAATTTTTAAATGGCAAAGATTGGCGGGCACTTAAAGATTGGCGGGAAATTATCTTAAAGAGGCGTGGAGTAAAGGGTGGGAATTGATAATGGAGTATAATTATTAAATTTAAGAATTGAGATATCAATACAAAAATTGGAAAAATCTATGTAATTAAAAAAAAACTATAAAATATTGTTTGTTAAGTATCTATCAAAGTAAATTATAAAAGTAACAGGTTTGTTTTATGAATTATTAACTGTTTGTAGGAAAAACTCTGATTCTCAGTAGGCTACATTTAAATATTATTATTCCTTCAATTGATATCTGATCTATTAGTATGTAGTGATATTTGTGTATGTTCTGTAGTGGAAATCAGTTTATTTTATGAATAATTGTATGTGGTTCATGGATTTTTTAAACTGTTTTAAAATATTTTAAAATCAGTGTGTCTAACACAAAACAGACGGTCTTTGACCATTGTTCTTTGCATTTAAATAAAAAACACTGTATTGACATTTTATTACAATGAACACATTTTCTTCTTCTTCTTCAGAAATCTATAATAATTCTTTTTAAATATTTATTCATCTAATAATTCTTTTTGTAGATTATCGAAACGCAAAATGATTAATAAAAGATTGCGTTATTATCCTTACCCGTTTCAAAGTTATAGCTTAATTTCTAAGAGGCTGTAAATTTATCTAAAAGGGGGGGGGGTAGAGGAAAGCACAAAGGGGTAGGAGTGGGGACTTTTGGGAAAATGCTCATCTCAACATGGTCTAACAGCATAGAAAAATTCAGCTTTCCCATAGTTACTTACAACATCAAACCTATATTGACTGTGGGCTACGTGTACCATCCATGCGCGCCTCGATACTACTACGAATTTTCCACGTTTACTTTTATTGAAATCAACGTAGCTCTGTTGTTTTTGCACGGATTTCTTTAAACTTGGTGTTGTTGTACCACTTGTTAGTTTTTCTAACCATAAATAGTTTGTAACATGCCCTAAACAAGCGCAATATTTCCGATATTTCATTTTAAAGTATTTTTAAATTTTATTTTTTGCAATAAATGTTGATTAGCGCCTATAGTAAAAGAGATAAAAGAAAGGTTGTAATAACCTTTTTAAAAGACAATATATTTAGGCGTTAATAGACGCTTAAACCACCTTTCTATCATTAACCGTTTGTGAGTTAGACGCGGAAACGTAAACCGATGACCCGCGCAACTTCCCCCCCTCCCCCCCGAGTTGTGACCACCCTAGAAATGCGACATCATCGATTTTTTTCATCTACTAGATGTCCCCAACAATAATCAAAAGTCAAATTTTGTCAGACTTTCAGTGCATACTCAACCCGTTTAGCGCCTGGACTATACATTGTTAGGTAACTGTAGGAAAAATTTATTCTTGCAAGAAAGAGGATACGTATCTTCAACTATTTTTTTACATAGTTTCCACCATTGTTTAGACATTTGTTGTAGCGAGGAACCAACTTTTCTATATCCTCTTCACAGAAAGATGCCGCCATTGAAGAGAAAAATTGCCGTAAGCATTTTCGGAACCCAGCGGGAACACATCTTGCGATAATTCAAGCGATTAACCACAATATCATGCACAAGAGATTTTGAAATTTGTGTAAATTCATCAGAAAGCATTCTTATGGTGAAACGTCTGTTTTCACAAACTTTTTTCATTCCCTTTTTCAACCCATTCGTGACTCTCAACAGATGGCTCATGAACATTGGTTCGCCCATCATTGAATTGCCAAACCCATTTTCTTAACATTCCATCACTGACAACTTTTCCTCCATAAACTTCTGTAAGTCGGCAATGAATTTCAGCAGGCTTCACGTTCCTTGCGTTAAAAAATCGTATTACAGAACACTTCAGGATCAGAAATTGTTTAAAACATTTTGAATGTACACTAACTAATGTAAACATAACTCAATTTTCCATTATTGTGTGAGCTGTTCAACAATGAACCAAGGAGACTAGTGCGCATGTAAGTAACATCGTTGTTAGCGCTGTGCCGGTGGTAGAACAAAACGTTACTTACTTCCAGGACAAGACTCGTATTTAGCTAAATTAAAGAAAGATATTTGTTATGTAAGGTAATCAACGTGAACAAAGTTTAGATGATACAAAGAAAACATTTTATTATACCTTTATAAATACATAGATCGCTATAAAATTTACCTGCACCATTTTCATTAACTGCAGCTACAAAAAGGTATCGACGATAACATGGGCTCTTTAGAGGGCTGAAGTGCGGAAACTGGGTTTTTCCAGCCTTGTAACCAACTCCAATCGATTTCTTGTGGCCAAATACCCCATAATAGACAACAAAATGAAAAATCCTCGAACGAAAAAAAGTTTATCCGTACATGCGTTTGTGATTATAGGATTTTTAGCTGATTTCATGCAAAGGAAATGTAAAAATAACTATGAACAAACTTCTATTGCTTGCTAGAAAGTATAATATCCTATGCAAATTCCAAGGATATTATACTTAGTAGGAGTTAAAATAGTATATCAGACAGGAAAAAAGGAAAAACACATCCTGAGTTTTAATAAATGCTACATACATTAAACAATCAATTATAACAAACATTTACATACATTGATTGAAGCAACATAATGAATTAGTTCAATTAATTGGGCAAATTGTAAACTAATTTTCTACAATGTTATATTATTTACAGGAGTTCTTGCTATGGAGGCTCTTCACAAGCAAGTTCTTCCTTTTGTCTTAAGAAGAATGAAGGAAGATGTACTCAAGGATCTACCACCAAAAATCACTCAGGTAAAATATATTTATAGTTAAATATTTAAGGACTATGACTCTATGTTCCTAGAAACCTCTCATACTGGTGATTTGGAGGAGTTGTTGATTCTTGAAACTTTTGGACTTTTGATTCAATTTCAATACCAAAATAAAACAAATCCTAGTTTTTTCAAACCTTTGTATTGTGCATCTTAGTTTAGTTGGCAATTAAAATCTTGTCTGAAATTGAAAATTTTAATTTTTAGAAAAGGAATCAGGCTGTAATCTGTCAGGCATTTAAGTTTCCCATGTGACTGTTGCTTTCTCGGATTTCTCTTCTCCTTCAGCAGTCCAGTGAAACCAACCTGAGATTATTCTGTTGTTTATGCTTTTGCTCTCTGTTTAGTTTAACACTGCATTTTTAGCTATTCTCATTCTGTTCAGTGAACCTAGGGGTAGGTGTTGGTCTCCAACAAAACTGCTGCTCGAGATTCTTAATGAAACATTCATGGGCCACAGATCCCCCACATATTTTGTTGTTGTTGTTATACCAACAATAAGACATAAGTATTTACACTGTAATATTACTAATATTTGTAATGGTTACTGTACAGGACTACTACTGTGACTTGAGCCCTCTACAAGAGAGACTGTATGAAGATTTCTCCCGGTCCCGTAGCTTATCTGACATCAGTTCTACGCAGAGCAACAACACACACATCTTCCAGGTAAGTCTCATCCAAATAGGAAAATCATTTAATATATATAATATTTAACACTTCCAACTGATTTTAGCTTAAAAAGTTTAAAGTTGGTCCATGTTTGTGTAGTTTAGTAGAGTTATGTCAGGAAAAAAGGTAGTTAGTTTCTTTCCAACCTCACCTATTTTATCTGTTTGTCAACAATTTAAATTTAAATGTCACAAAATTTATTCAGATGAGCAAACTTACCAACAATTGTGTGTAAAACTAAACAGTTGTTTGCGGTTGAAAAAACTAACTCAGGTAAAGCATTGTATGTTAACAAAATAATAACAATATGGCTTAGGTATGAAATTGTACTAATCTTTTGTAGACACCCTGTATTTTTTCAATAATTGTGAAAAAGTGTTTAGGTGTTGCAGAACATTTTTCATCTTTTGATAGTTTTGTTATATGCATGTCTTGTTTGTGTCACTGTCATCCAGTTTTTCCCTGTAAACAAATTAAATTCCTCACCTCTATGCGCCGTTTTGTTTCACATACTGAGTAGAGAAAGCTAAATGACAATGAATGTTCAATTAGTTAGTTGATAGTTAGCCTACTACATTTGTATCTCTTCATTTGTTGATAAAAGTGTAATTTTCAGGCACTGAGGTATTTACAGAATGTCTGCAACCATCCTAAGCTAGTCCTCACTCCACAGCATCCTGAGTTCCAGAAGATCTTAGCAGAACTGAAGTCTCACAACTCATCTCTCTCAGAGATTGAGCACGGCTGCAAACTACCTGCTTTAAAACAACTGTTGCTGGGTGAGTAATTGTTGATTTTTAATTCCGTTGTGACTGTTGTGTACAAAGGCCTTTTTATACGTAAAATTTTGAAATTAATTTAAAAATCATACTACTTACAGTTTGTTTGTCATAATTTCGTGAACAAAGACTCTACAACATCGCTATTGACACTATTAATGGTTTAGCATGTCAGCTGACATATATGTGTTAGCTGTGAAATTTGTTTGTATCTAGTACAAAATTGCAGTCATTTGAAAATGTTTTGGAAATTTATCAGTGTTTCTCAGGCTGATTAAACTTTTTTTACTGGACTAACGGTTTTTGCTGATGCCCTTCTTTAATAAAGACACTTTCATACCATATGAAGGTGTTCTGAGGTCAGTCTACCTGATGTAGCCGATTAAAAAGTTTAGAGGAAGTATCCACATATTTTTAATTTTCTTCAGCGTAAAGGTTGATTCACACACATTAGTGCAGTCATAGTTCAGTCACATTTGCATCCAAAATTTGTCCGAGTCAACTGTCTATCAGTTGGTTTCAGTCAGGCTTCCGTCACTTTATTTACAGTGATTTTTCTGTCAAGATTTTATTAACTATGAGTATTTAAGTAAATGTTTAAATGTGATAAAGATACAATTACCCCAATGACTGATTTAACTATGGAAGAGTCAGCTGCTGTAGTGATAGCCTTAGATGACAAAGAGATTGAAAATAACAGAAAAAACTAACTTCAATCAAAGCTTTTACTTCGTCGTTTAACACGTTCGCTACTGCAATAGTACGAAATTTTTCATTCACATGGACCAGCGACGCACATATGCGACGCCCGGTTTCCACCCATAGCCTGCCGTCGCATATTTGCGTCGGGGTTCTAATGTTATTAAAATGCTTATATCTTTGTAACGGTCTATTTGAAGGCACTGAATTCCCTGCAGTGGTCTACAGAGATGTCTGACGCACAACTGCGTCGCTTGGTCTGTGTATATGATGATTTGTCACGTCATATGATAGTTGGAAAAACTGGTCTTTACTTTTTTGCATCACTGTATGTATGTATGCAGTATGTATGCTGCATTATCCTATGTAGCTTTTATATGTGTTCAGTTATAAACTGTTCTTGAATAATCTGTTTTTTTTTTTACTTACTTTCACCTCAAAACACAAAAAAATTAACTGTCGCATATAATATGCGATGTTTGGTCTATTTCAAGAAAACTATGATAATTTTCACTATTGTCTTCGCTGTAGACCGGGCGTCGCAAATATGTGACATTACAAAAGGTTATAAAAAATAAAAATAAAAAATAAATTATTTACAAACACGATTGTAGCGTATTACAATGTAAATGATCTCTGTTTTAAAGGTTTTCGCCCGTGGTCTGTGTACTGTTATCCAAGTGACAGCCGGTCTATGTGTAAGATTCAAATGTATACCTCGGTCTGTGGCAATGAACGCGGCGTCGCATATATGCGACGCTCAGTAGTGAACGTGTTAAGGCTAAAGACTTCAGAAGATAGGATTTTTCTTCCTCAAACTCATCATCTCCCAAGTCAAGCCTTTGGCAGAAGCTTCCGTAATCTTTAGTACCTGACATGTCCTTCTCAGCTTTTCTTGTAATGGTGCTTTTGTGTTTTCCCTCCTTCCTTTTATTCATTTAAACTCTCCTACATGTCATGAGCCGTTTTGTTCGCCTCAATCCTATTTTCTTTCCTTTTCAAATGGGATTTCATGCTTTTGTAATGCCACATTGGACCGTACTGAAAGTCGAATGCAGCAGCTCTTGCTCTGAAAGTAAAAGAACCCCTCTTGCCTCGATTAACTTGTTTCCCATCAGTAAACTTTGCCACTAATGACATGTAGTTTTCAGCAAGGTTGCTCGTTTGGTTTTCCCATAGTAAGTTAGCCCTCAGAAGAACAAGCTTTAGGGCTTCCAACACCTTATTAGCCACGAGAAGCATAGTACCCTCATGTTCTTTCTCAGTACCAACTGCCTTACAAAAATAAGGCTTACATCTTATATGGTTTCCTAGGACATGGCAAGGGCTGTTCCTAAAGTATGCTTTCTACTTTTCGATATTTTTTTCGCTGGAATGGTGCATAATCGCTCCACGTGCTGCTGCCTTCAGTCGCTTTATAATGTTAACACTCAGGAATCTTTTCTCTGTGTTGCCATTCTCTCTCAGTTTATATAGCCTCTTTGTGTAGTTCTTGATCATGTGGTTTGTACATTCAACTTTTTCTACAAAACGACCGTAAGGCACCATCTCTCTAACTTTCTGATGCACACTAGAATCGCCATCACCTATCATTTTCCTGTACTGAACACCATGGATCTTTTGGCTGGAATTAAAAGCCTCCACTAACATGTCTGACTCCATTGAAGCGCTAGGTCCACTCCAATTTTTCAAACATTTTTCATGGTCAGTAGTGGTTCCTTTTAGGGATGGACGGGATTGAATTTTTAGTTCGGGACGGGACGGGACGGGATTTTTATTTCCTTCCCGATTTTCGGGACGGGACGGGACGGGATTTTTTTCTGTGCATAAAAAGAAAGTACTGTATTGCAAGTACCAAAAAAGACATACGAAATCAATTTTTACCATTTGTGGCACTGATCTATAAAAACCAAAAAATGGGTAACAATTTACAGGTACCTATAGAAACTTGTGACTCGCGGGTCACGGGGTGATCGTCTGTATGACTCACGGACAACGGTCATGGCGCGATCATCGACATGACTCGCGGTCACGGCGCGATCGTCGGTATGACTTCGCGGTCACGGGGTTATCGTCGGTATGACTCCACGGTCACGGCGCGATCGTCGGCATGACTCGCGGTCACGGCACGATCGTCGGTATGACTCGCGGTCACGGCGCGATCGTCGGTATGACTCCGCGGTCACGGCGCAATCGTCGGTGCGGTATGACTTGCGGTCACGGCGCGATCGTCGGTATGACTCCGCGGTCACGGGGTTATCGTCGGTATGACTCGCGGTCACGGCGCAATCGTCGGTGCGGTATGACTAGCGGTCACGGCGCGATCGTCGGTATGACTCCGCGGTCACGGGGTTATCGTCGATATGACTCGCGGTCACAGCATGATCGTCGGTATGACTCGCGATCACGGCTCGATCGTCAGCATGACTCCGCCATCACGGCATGATCGTCAGTATGACTCCGCGGTCACGGCGCGATCGTCGGTAGGACTCCGCGGTCACGGCGCGATCGTCGGTATGACTTCGCGGTCACGGGGTTATCGTCGGTATGACTCCACGGTCACGGCGCGATCGTCGTCATGACTCGCGGTCACGGCACGATCGTCGGTATGACTCGCGGTCACGGCGCGATCGTCGGTATGACTCCGCGGTCACGGGGTTATCGTCGGTATGACTCCACGGTCACGGCGCAATCGTCGGTGCGGTATGACTTGCGGTCACGGCGCGATCGTCGGTATGACTCCGCGGTCACGGGGTTATCGTCGGTATGACTCGCGGTCACGGCGCAATCGTCGGTGCGGTATGACTTGCGGTCACGGCGCGATCGTCGGTAGGACTCCGCGGTCACGGCGCGATCGTCGGTAGGACTCCGCGGTCACGGCGCGATCGTCGGTAGGACTCCGCGGTCACGGCGCGATCGTTGGTATGACTCGCGGTCACGGCGCGATCGTCGGTAGGACTCCGCGGTCACGGCGCGATCGACGGTAGGACTCCGTGGTCACGGCGCGATCGTCGGCATGACTCGCGGTCACGGCGCAGTCGTCGGTAGGACTCCGCGGTCACGGCGTAATCGTCGAAATGACTTCGTCTCCTGCGTTCGCGGACCTATCGCTCGCAATAACGGCGTTATCGGCACTCGCGAAGCGGAAAAATCGCCGACGATCGGACCAAATCCCGTCCCGAAAAATTCCCGAGGCAAATGTAATCCCGTCCCGATAATCGGGAATATTTTTTTCCCGAAAAATTCCCGAAATTTCGGGACCCGTCCATCCCTAGTTCCTTTCTTTTTTAAGTGTGCACACATTGAGCAGTACTTGTTTCTCACATCTAACTCCAGAATTAGCTTAGTATCTGTGACCATGGCTACGATGAGACCATCCTCCATCCACTATTACCGTTATGAACGGAATAATATTCTTCGTCACATCACCGTTCTCTATAGCCAATTTCTTTTCTTCAACGCCAGCTTCAATCATGGAATCATACAACATGTCTTGCCATACCTTAAAAACAAAAATAAATATTACTGTAAAATCATCTTATAGAATCTATATAATTAATACGCTACATGAAACTTTGTCGGTTGAACTCCTCCGCCATTTCTAAACCGATTTTATCCATTGACGTCTCATTGGAAAGAGTGTGTCGCGTAGATTTGCAAACTGACCTAACATTTTTGAAAAAGTCCCTTGGGCTCTGCCCCAGTGGCTGTTAAAGTTCCCATGTTATCCTTATGAAGAACATGATTGTTTAAATTTTGATCAGCTGTATATTTTAATTGCTGTTATTTTTCATTTCAAAGTCTTTTAAACTCATCGGAAATTATGATGACTTTTATTTGTTTTTAAATAACTACTTTACTTCTTTGCAATTGCTTGATTTCGAGCAACGTGTTTACTAGTTCATTATAAAAACATTAAAATAAGTAAAATTTGACTGCTAAGACTGCCGGGAATTCATATTTATTTGTGTTTGGTAAGTATTTTAGGGTTTGATTTAATTTTGAAGGTTTTTGCAACACTAAAATACTGTTTTTGGTACTTTGGTTTTATCTGGATGCTACTTATATTAGAGGTATTTTTTTTTTTACCGGAGACCAAAAATAACTACATAATTTGAAAGACAATACTTTAATTGACTTACTGTCCAAATTCGACATGATTACCATTAGCGGCCTTTGAGTTCTACCTCCCTGAAGGCTGCAATGTCGGCGAGGATTGAGTTGAATGCGTCGCCGCCACTATACTACGCCAAGTAGGTATACAGCGCGCTGCGGCGGCTATATTAGGTTGTGTTATCATAAATATGTTTGCAGGACTTTCCTCGTTTTGTTATAAATTGAACGATAACCAATGAGTCATGATTTCGCCCGTCAAATACCCTAGATACAGGCGGTGACAGGTGATGCACGCGCTCCGGTCAACGACCTGACCTTGGCCTACTAGGAGGGGATTTGGCGTGCGAAAGTATGACTCATCTGGTATTGTTTTATTTATAACGAAACGAGGAAAGTCCTACAAACATATTTATGATAACATAACCGCCGCAGCGCGCTTGCTGTATAAGGGTGGCCTCCTGATAATACCAAAGTACCCCTTTGGTAACTAAAACTATTTTTATCAAACAAACTTAATTAACTCTTAAATATAATTTCAAGTTCAAGAACCATACCTGTCCTAGGCATTCTTCTGCTGTTCTAAAATCCTTTTCGCTGATTGGTGAAATGTCAATCGATGATAAAACTTCTTCCATGTTTTTGTGAAACCAGAACTGTTTCCAGAACCGATTAATGAAAATCCCCATACTATTTGGTCTACAAAAGGCAATTTTGAGGGCGAGTCTGACAGGGAACTGTTACTGTCACTTGCTGCAATTAGTTGCTGTGTTTCAATATTTACATACAAAACTGTAAATTTTCGTAGTCACTTATCATGAATACAGTAGCTATTTTTTATTCAGCTCATATAATAAATTAACTACTGTCAGTGGAATGAACTAAATTAGACAGTATGCAAAAAGGAGATCAAAGAGGATGAATATTTGTTTGTTTGTATTTATGTTTTACCTATGGACTTAGTAGCTAGCATACATTAGAAAAAAAAGAAAGAAAAATAAATTTTAAAAAATTCGCAAATTATCAAAAATTATTCATGAAATTAAAAACATAAACATAGCTGTTAACAATCCTACTTTGACAGTTCTCATTGCGTATCACAGTTTTTTGTTGCTGCTTAGTTCAAATTAGCTGTTCTCATAAATGCAAAAAAATAATAGTGCTGCTCCCTGTTGGTAAATCTTATAACTTTTTAATGCTTTTCATATCGTATAACCAACTTTTTTAGTTGAAACAGCTGACTGTTCTTTAATTCCCTTTTAATATGAATACTCATAAGGTTAACATGGGGAACTACAGAGCCACTGGGGCGGAGCCCGAAAGGATTTTTGACATAAGAATATGCCTATATGTTAATCGGGAATGTGACCTATCATCATGCCAAATTTCAGCCCAATCCGTCCTCTAGTTACCTAATGCTTGATTGAACTTCAAACAAACACACAAACTTTCACATTTTTTATAATATTAGTAAGATAAGATGAATTTGAACGGTTGGTGTTTTTAGCCTCTAGGGACCTCAGAACGAAAATGTAAATCGGTCCCGGGTCCAGGGCTTATCATGAGTACTACCTTAATAGCTCTAATAGCCCTATATGGGAAATTTGCTAAACAAATTTTCTTATTGAAACACGATCCTACTAAAATTATAAGTGAGAAAGTTTGGATGGATGAATGTTTGTGACAAGTAAACGAAAAAAATAATGGTCGGATTGGGCCGAAATTTTGGCATTATGATAGCTCATATTCCCGATTAACATATAGATGCATTCTTATCTCAAAAATCCTTTCGGACTCCACCCCAGTGGCTCTGGAGTTTCCCATTTTAACCTTATGAGTATTCATTTTTAAAAGGAATAAAAGAATTTTGTCAGCTGTTTCAACTACACAAGTTGGCATTAAAAATTTATAAGGTTTACCAACAGGGTGCAGCACTATTATTTTTTTGCATTTATAACAACATCTAATTTGAACCAACTAGCAACAAAAAACAGTGAAAAATTAATTTTTTTTTGTATTGTTTAGGTGCAGTGGTAGAACATTATGGCTATGGTAGATGTGCTATACTATAGCATACCGTAAATTAAAAGAACCAAATTTTCTTAAACTGTTTCCTCTTCCATTGCAAACACAAATGAATGAATGAATGATTTATTCCGTTAAATTTGCTACAAAGTACAATGGTTACATTTTTTACTATAATATTAAGTTAACAACATGAAATAATCAAGAACAGAAAAAATTAATAAAGTTGTGAACATAATGTTGAATTATACAAAAACTAGCAAAACGAACATAATAAACTTATAATTTTGTAGCTAGTTATAATTAATTGGTCTTGTGGAATGAGCAGAGATAGACGAACTCTGCCTGTACGTCTGCTGGGTTGCATATATAAAGCACGAGTATAACTGCAATAAGCATTTTATACCTATACGCCAACCCCGTTTGAAGGACGGGTACTCTGCTAGTATTCTATAAATTTAAAAATGTCAAACACCTACATCACACTACCGTCAGGCGTCCCTACAATCCCAAAATATCGTTGGGAATGAATCGGAAATTGACTGACGGACCTGTGCAGAAACAGGGCTGGATGAGTTAGGTAACACAACAGGAAAGCCAATAGAGAATACATTTTTTTGGCTGTGACTTGACTGCTGTGACTGACCCGTGACACGCTGGAACTGATATGTGTGAATATACTTTAAGGGAACCCATGTTAATGCATTTTCTAGGCATCATTAAATGATTGCCATGCCATACTGAGTTGGGATAGAGACCTCCGGTTTTTGCTGATTCTTCTTTCTTTAGTTAAATAAAACCTTTAAAATAAGGTGTCACTTGATGGAGCTTTAGATTAACATTTTTAAGCAATCCCCAAGATATCTTATTTTAAAACCCTGGGCAAAATTGGCATACCAATCATAAAGTGCACTTTTAGGCACCCACCCTCAAATCAGCATCAAAAAGTAAGTGAGGGTATCCATACTTTTGCCTAGTCCTATATTTCCTTTCCCTCAACGCTTATAACTAATTATTGTGGTGTAGGTTTGGCTTACAGTAACTAAACAGCAGAACCATATTATTTACATTATTTGCCATGATGCTTGTTGTAGATTGTGGCATAGGTACAGCGTTGGATAACTCTACAGCAGCTCCTGTAGTCTCTCCTCATCGAGCTCTCATCTTCTGTCAGATCAAAGCAATGCTGGATATTGTCGAGAATGATTTGCTCAAGTGAGTGTGTCCTATGTTAACCTGTATTTTTGCATGTTTAAAATCCTTAACCGTTAACAAAAGAGATAACTATTATAACAAAATCATATTTTTCCATCAACAATGTTTGAACTCTATAATTTTCAAGTGCTCCTGGATCAAGGTTTAACACTATTTGGGAATTCACAATTAGAATCAGTTATTTCCAAAAGTCTATTCTTTACTTCATTGGCTAAAATCTTGACTTTGGTTTAGACATCACTATTGATGATTGATCCACAAAGTTTATTACAATTTAATAAATTCAGGTCTAGTCTAGTTGTTTGAACAGTCATTGAATGTCTGTAAACTTCACTGAAAACCACAAATGCTTAAAATCTAGCTGAGACCGTTGTGCTTTCACAATAGCACCACTCGTCTGCTACAATGACAGACAATGCCTTTCAGATAGCTGAATCACTAATAGCTAGGTCAGCAGAAAAACATCTAATTTCTTTAGATATTCATTGGTATTTAAATACTAGACAATTGAAAAAAAATGTTTCACCAATTTACACTTCTTCCTGAGGCTTTAGCTTTTGAAGCATCACGTTCTGTGTTTTTTTAATAAAAAAATAACAGGATATAATACTTTTTAATCATTAAACATTAAACTGAAACTAATTAGCAAATTTCACTATAGTAGCTATCTACTATTTACTATTTACAAACTTGTAGAAGCTTTAGTAATTGTTATATGCAAACATTTTTTTTTCTTTTCTTGTAAATTTAATTGTTGGGGATAGAATTTAAATATTTCAAAAAATCTTAATATGAGTCTTTATTGCCATTGTATAAGCATAATACATCTTTAACATATCTATGCCAATAGATTATTTCTTTTTTAAACGGGTTGTCGCCGTTTATGATTTTTTATGATTCTAGATGACGCGAACCAGCATGATCGGATCATGGAAACGGGGTTTTATAGGATGAAAATAGGTTTTTCTAATTTTTGTCCCTCAAAACAGAACATTTCCCAATTTCTCTTAGAGCTTAAAAGAGCTTAACAAAAATTTAGTATATCAAAGTATTTTTGTACAATTATTATTATTAACAGAGAAAATTAAAAAAAAGTAATTTAAAATTCCCATGTTATTTTTAAGAAGAATATTGTAAAATGTTTTAGTTTGCTTGTTTATGGATATATTGTGATAAAACTTGGCAAATTTTCTTATTTTATATTACAAACAGTTGCAACACTGTCCAAGAGAGAGATGAAGTACATTAGAACTTACTGGTCCAATTTAGAGTGAGGTAGATTCTGGACTGAGATGCCATTTGTCATTCTGCTAGGATCGATCAATAAATTAATGATACTATCTAACCAAAGGTCAACATTATGAAGTATAAAGACCAAGATTTGAACAATCCCTCTTACAAAAAGTAAAGTAATGATACTATGGTAGATAGATAAAAGACTATATCACTTACAATACTGTGCATTTGCAGAAAGCACCTTCCATCAGTGACGTACTTGCGGCTGGATGGCTCAGTACCTCCGAGTTGCAGACATAATGTCGTGGCAAGGTTCAACTCTGACCCCTCCATAGACGTGTTGTTGTTGACCACTCAAGTGGGAGGTCTAGGACTCAATCTTACCACTGCTGATACTGTGAGTAAGCTAACTTTTCAAAAACTAGCATAATTACTTTTAGGGCTATAAGACTGTTTACCCGCCTTTCATGGCTTCTTGGTCATCAACACGTTTGCTGCAGCCCATCAAATGGCAGGCGTAGCCCCGGTGCGGCACAGCGTCAAGCGGACCCGTTTTGCTTTAAAATATTTTGGTCTGACAAATAGCAAATGATGTGTGGTGATGTGTTCTGTGTTACGACGAGAGTCAACGTAGTTTGCTGAAACACTCACAGATAGCAGCACTGTCTGGAACCAGCCAGTCCCATTGTATTGCCAATAGGAGGGAGAAAAACGGGACATTAAGTTGATTTCTAAGCTTGCCAGAATTAGATTTTCAGGGTAAATCTACTACCAACCTACATCACTATAAAGCACCCGTTCCTAGCTAAACGCAGACATAAAAATATGGGTTCTTCCCAGTGCGCTGCTGTGCAGAAATTAAATGGCATGTAGGCGATGCCGGCACTCATTGGTGAGCGTTCAGCGTGGCAGAACTAGAGCACTCACCGGTGCTCCGGTGAACGTGCCCATAGCTATACCTGACACCAGATGCATAAAAGAATTTTTAAAGGAGGGTACAAGATCTTATCCATTCTTTTGCTACTTGCTCAACAAAAAAGTTGTTTAAAGTCCCAAAAAGTCCATTGCAAACAGCCTTCTTAAGGAAGTTGGATTCCCTCAGATGGTCAATGGTGATTGAGTTTCCTGCTGATTGTGTCTCCAAGGTAGATAAAGCTTCCCAACAACTTACCTGTCATTGAGAGCAGGTGGGATGAGTCTACCGTACAAGCATTGTTTAGTCGCTTTTTCTGGAGGATGTAACTATAGTAGACAACATGCCATGTAGCTGTGGTGCAGAAATTCAGATTATGGATCACATTAATTATTGCCCTGATGACTCTCCTTACTGGATTGCTCAGGATACATCCTACACGGCTGGATTTCAAGGTCTTCCTATGACCTTGGAATTAGCTTCATTCTATGACAAATGAGTGCAACTACTTCGTACAGAAGATTTTTTGTACAACTTAAATTATACACACCAGCGAACACATAACAAAATAGAAGCGCTACTCGGAGCGCAGGAGCGTGGCAGTCTGACTAGCCGACGAAACGGACAAAGATGGCGGCGCTAGCCTAGTCCCGGCGTGTGCAACGCGCTGGTCGTCTGCTATGCTTCGAGTCAGTGTTGTTTACATAGGCTTTGTTTAAATGTAAAAATACTTTTGTATAAAAATTACTTAGGTTTTTCTGGAAGTACATTGTCGTATTAGTATATTGTTGGAAATATCTTAAAGTAAATCGATTGTTTTACTGTAGTAAATATATTTTTTTATCGCGGGAGAAATTTTTGTTTACAAATATATATCTGTTTAAAAAACATCTTTGTTCGCATTATAAATCTGTCATATTGGTGTTATTTCTTGTGTCACGACAAACACGATGGCATTTTGAACGACATTTTTAGGGTATTATTAACGATGCTAGCATACGTTTTAAAAATAAACATCAGCATAAAAACTATTGTGAGTAAAAATTTTAAAATGCATGGAACTGTTAACAATAAACCTACCAATAAGCCATAACAATTTCAGAAATATTGGCTGAGTGGTTTGTTTACAATTAAATTTTAAACTTCGGTGTTAGTGCAGAGGTTCTTAAAAATCGGTACTTTTTAGGATCTTTCAACTATATAAATTTTTCTGGTAAACGGAATTTTTTTTAATTGTTACCACGTAAAATGTATTTAAACCAGCTTATATTTAATTTTTCTCCCAACAAAATCGGATAATTCATCTCAAGAGATATTTAGGCTCAAACTCGAGTGCATATATTTATTTCCCCGACAGTAGTCCCGGCGTGTGCAGCGCGCTAGTCGTCTGCTATCCTTGATGAGAATAGTGTAGATATAAAGTTAATGATATTAGTGTAAAGGAAAACAATGTAATTGAGGACTTGACGAACAAAGTACTTGGACAATATGTAGGTGTAAATTTGTTTCCAAATAGTACACATTTCTCAGGATATGAAACAATATGGACAAAAATCATTTTTGTTTAGTACCTAATTAAAATTATTGCTCAAAAATATTCCAATGTTAGAGTTCGCTACTACTGTAAAATAAGTAGCAAAAGTCTTCACAAAAATAAAATCAGGCAACATCTCAATAAAACTGTAATTTTTCTGGGACAATAAATTGAGTGTAATTTTACAAATATATTTGGGAAGTTTAATTTAACTTACATAATTATCTTTAGTTTATCTTGGATGATATTGAAAGCAAATTTGTCCTTAAAAAGCTGTGCCAAACGGTTGAAAATTCTCCATAGACCATATTTGAAAATTTCTTTAATATATAAAATATTACAGTACAACAGTATAAATACAACACTGCACGCTAAATTTATAGACAACGGCCCGGCGGGGCAGCGGGCGTGGCGCGGAGCAGCGGCAATGGACCCCTTTTGTACCTGATATTTTTAGAAAACCACGCACGATAAAAATTTTTGGTGAATCGGATAGTTAAATTTGGTTATTTATCCACAACTTTCCCGCTGATGAAATTACTCTGACCAAAAAATAAAAAAATTCCTCGCAATACAACTTTTTCATGTCTGAATGTGAAAAATTAAACTACATCAGTAATACAAATATTTATAAATTAATTACTATCATAACTAATAATTTTATATTAACACCATCGTTATCCTCAGTATCAGATCTACAAGTGTGCAAAATTTCAGCAATTTTTGTCAACTACTAATGTTGTTTATGATCGTGTATTTGTCGTGGGGTTTTTAATGCGAACTGTGCTCGCGGGTCTTGGATTCAGGCTGTATGACGGACCAAGATGGCAGATTTGGCCACACTTTCAGTGCATTTGGTTAAACGCCGTGTCCTCTCTATTATTATTATTATTATTATGTGCTCGCTGATACACACAAACCAACACTTGAAATGTTAACGAGCCAGTTTTTGTAGGTGATATTTGTGGAACATGACTGGAGCCCTATGAGGGACTTGCAGGCGATGGACCGAGCTCATCGTATAGGACAGAAGCGAGTGGTCAATGTTTACAGACTCATCACGAGAGGCACGCTTGAGGAGAAGATCATGGGGTGAGTTGGTTGTAACTTGTAACTTGTGAGGTATGGTTATACAATTAATTATGACTCTTAAAGGTAGGCTATGCCGTCATATGGGAGGTGAACTAATTGTGTCAGAGTAGATTACACTTTTGAAATTTAAAAGTAATGAGTGATTGTCTCTCAAGGTATATGTGTATACAACTTGAACACAATGAAAGATTTTTCTTTGGGGACCTTACAAAACATTTTTGAGAAATTTGTATTCAAATTGTTGTAACAATTTTCTTAAATGCCTACAGGCTGCAGAAGTTCAAACTGGTGACTGCCAACACAGTGATCAGTGGCGAGAACTCGAGTCTGGAAACCATGGCTACAGACAAGGTAATAGTGGTTTTGTATGTTAGATTGAAACTCGTAGTCTGTTGTGATAAGGTGATGTATTATCATCCAAATTTAAGGCAAGCACAAATGAAAGATTTTCTAGTTAAGATCTAAGATGATTATTTGATTTCTTTAATCTCTCAACCTTATGACAAAATGCCACTTCTGTTACCTAAAATAAGATTTTGGCAAGGCTTACCTGAATGGGAAAGAGCTCAAACTGATACATGAAACACAAAAATGTATAGCTTACTTACTCAGAATATAAGTATATTTTACTGTAACTGACAGAAAATTTAACTAAGGAAGGTACAAGTTGAAGAGAGAGTTACTAGTTAAAGAATTACTTCTTAATTAGCATTTCACGAGTTGGCATTATTATAGGATTGTCAAACAAAATATGTCCTCCAGTACTATCTGATATGTTTACACTACACTTATCTATAAACTTTTACTATAAGGTAAATATATAAAATATGTTAAAATGGCAACTGATTTCAACCCGCACTGGTTTTAAACAAAGACTTATCACCTCTCATGAGTCTCTGATTGTGCTTGATGATGACTGGTATCCGAAATTCAATCATTTTATGTAGCTGAAATTTAATCTAGTTAATAAAAGTAGACGGACAGTTATTGTGACAATAGTGACGTCAGCCTGCCTCAGATTTGGCTTTGGCTTTGATTGGTGTGAATGTTTCTATCACTTGGTTATGACCTGTTCCAGCTGTTGGATCTGTTCTCCTTGGAAGGCAAGAACACCTCGGGTCGCTCAGGCTGGCCAAACTCCTCGTCTAACCTGACTATGAAGAGTGTATTGGCAAACCTGCCCGACTTGTGGGAGGAGACCAGCTACGAGGAGGAGTACGACTTGAGCAACTTTGTAAAAACCCTTCGTCAATAAAACCTGTGTTTGTGTACTTTTGTTTTTATCCTGTCGATCATTTAGCCCAAAAACTTTTAATGTTTTACCTAACACACATTCCTATAGAAATTTGAGAAATGTAAGTGATGTGGTCGGAGAAGGTGAGGCCACCATAAAAAACAAAAAAGTGTAATACTTACGTGGCCCTAACAGAACTACAAGAGTGTAATCAATGTGAATCACAGTGTACGTAAAAAGCTTTTGAAGCTACCATCGTGTTATTTCGCATTTTAATGATGGATCGTCAGCGTGATCGTCATCATTATAAGGTCCCGTAATAAATCTGTGGCACTGTACTTATTTCACGAAGCAAGCAACGACAGTCGAACCCAAAACCTTCACTTCATTCTGACTTCCTAAGTTCAGTGAACCAAATAAATATTATGTTGTTGTTGTATATGTTACCTATTAATAAATATAATTTTTCCCTTAGAACAGAAACAATGTTATTTTTCCTTATTTATCTATATTTATTTTTTCAAACATCAAAATTGTTGGAAGTGGAATGAATGCGAGTCACAGTTAAAAGGATGTTGCTCAGTACCATATTGCCCTACTGTGAGAGTGGAATGAACGGTAATAACGGATCACTGCGAATCACAGTTATAAATCACAGTTCAGACAAGTGAGCAATCACTATTTGAACTGTGATTGTAAAATCACAGGTATTCCCATCAAATAAAATCAATCTTTATTCCAAGACAACAATATGTACAAAAGTAATACAATGCTGTATAGGCTGCGTCACAGATAATATTGTAGGGGTTATATTATCTGTGGCTGCGTCAATATGTAAACAGTGAATTAATAACACATTTCAAAGGTCAAAGCAATTGTCAAAATATTCTTCTAAGTCATAAAAACAGTATTTCAATAACAAATTCTTATCAGCTATTTTAAATTTATCTAATGGTAACTCTTGAATATAATATGGTAGATGATTGAATAACTTAATCGAGGAATATTTAAAGCTTTTTTTTAGTAACACTATAAGTACAGTAATAATTATTTCTCAGTTTAGCACAGTTTCTGGTCTTATAACTATGGACATCACAGTGGGAAGACAAAGTGTTTAAGTTCTTTTTACAATACATAAGACAGTGAAATATATATATACAAATAAGAGGCATGACAGATAAACAACTAAAAATGGGCTTACAATGAGTTTTCGGGGGAACACCAGCAATTAATCTAAGAGCTCTCTTCTGCAACACAAATATAGTATATTTCATTACTAGGACCGAAAGTGGCATTTTCCGTCGCGCGCTCAAGTTTTTAATTTCACATTAATTTCAACATTAATTGACATTAATTTCACATGCGAGGCGAAGCCGAGTATGAGTGAAGAAATTTTCTTCACTCCGTAACGAAAGTAACTATTTTCGATAACAGCTGACATCAATGAAAGTAGCCGTTTCCCAAGCTCTAATTTAGGGCGTGGGAAAATCGATCAGCTGATTTTCCCTCGCTCTCAATTAGTTCTCTATTTATTCACTACGCGCGCTAGTGTTTTGTTATGGTTTAATTTAATGATTTGAATCAGCTGTATGTATAGTTCAAAGTTTTTTTATTCTTTTATTTTGATATTTAAACCAAATGTATTGTGAAATATACGTAGGTTTCCTTTTAGAAAATTTTATTTTGAGGTTCATTCAAATTAATTGAGAAATAAATAGGTAGTTGTAATGTTACTGAGGTCTGCTGTGTATTTTTGCGTCGTGATGAAAAGTATCGTTCATAACTCGTAACGAATGATTATCCGGCACTTGCTCCATTATTCCCATTGCTCCATTATTATTGTATGTGAAAATAGCTCTCACATACTCGGCTTCGCCTCGCACGTGAAATTAATGTTCCCTGTGTTCGGTTTCGCCTCACACAAAAACTTGAGCGCGCGACGGAAAATGCCACTTTCGGTCCTAGTAATGAAATATACTATTACATAACCACAATTAGCCCAAAGAATGGTACCATAGGTAAGATGACAGTGTATGAAGCTATAGTAAACAGTAAGAAGAACTTCCATTGAAACAACATTTTTTAGTTTTCTTAATATAAACATACCTTTAGACATTTTAACAGCTACAAATTCTATGTGATTCCCACTTCCAAGGTGCTCTGAATTAAAGATACCTAAAAATTTAACAGGTTGTTGATGAGAATCTGTGTTAGCAAAAGAAATTTTCAGATCTTGCTTTTATTTAAATTTAAAGATAGTTTATTAACATTACACCAGTCTACCATTGTATTAACAGAGCCAACAGTGATTCCATTCCCCTGGGATGACCTCGGATGTCCCACGGATATAGTGAGCTTATGCGTAGGACATACCCGGGCGGGGACATTACGCATTCCTGCGGATATCCTGGGATATCCCAGGTTGACCATATAGGACTACTATGGGATATCTTGCATATCCTGTTGCAATATCCGTGGGATGTCCTGAGGAGAAAGTGTGCTGTCTGGGGCCTTGCGGAACGCCATGATGAGTCTCCACCGAATCCGACAGAACACCGTCAAAGAACACTGCCTGACTTCTACCCTACCACATATAGATATGATACCATCAATGCAACTGCGCTAACACTAAAACCTAAAAATCTTAGTTTTCTAAACAACAATTGATGTGACACAGTGTCAAAAGCCCTTGAGAGATCAAAGAACTTGGAGCAAACACTCTTTTTCAACTCCATCGCATCCAAAGTATCTTGAATATAAATTAACACTGCATCTGTGGTTGATGACCGGCCTTTTCGGAAGCCAAACTGAACACCAGACAAAAGACTGTTCGATTTTAAAATACCCCCGCCGCAGCAAACCTGCAGACTAAGCGAATTTCCATTTGATTTACACTGAAATGTCTACTTAAAAATATAACATTTATTCCCGATTTAAATAGAATTAGTTTAACAAGTACTTAGGTTTGCTGCATCAGGGAGGTAAAACTGTTTTTTTTTATGTTAATAATAGTTAGTAAGAAATAAAAACATTTTTCAAATTTGATCAAAATATGTTCATAAACAAGCAAACTACAACAGTTTACTTATTCTCCATAAGAATAACATGGGAATTTTAAATTTACAATTTTTTCAAATTTTCTCCGTAACCATTAGGCGCATAATAACGCTTCAATATACTTAATTATTTGTTTTTTTAAGCTCTACAAAATGGTTTGGAAAGAAATTGCTAAATTTTATGTTTTTTTGGGTCAAAAATGCGAAAAACCTATTTTTACCCCATAAAACCCCCCGTAAACCCCCGTTCCCATGGTCCGATCATGCTGGATCGCGAACTCGTTCGAATAAACGTAGGTTCAAATTCAAATTCAAATTCATATTGTTTATTTGGCCATTAAACATTACATAATAGGCTATGTCAATACATAATTCAGTAAAATAAAAATAAACCATCATCAGAGATTGGTTAACAAAATCAAACCATGCTTAGTTTAAGTCAAATAGCATACAAAATAAAAAGTTAAATAAATCAGATTAAAACCATGCACATTAAAAACATCACACAGCCACTGCTGACACACTGCTGGATATCATAGCTGTTAGTGACCCATCCTTTATTGCCCACCACGGTCAATTTTCTGCCCCTGGACTTTCTAAACATGACCTGATTTTCTGTGTATATAAATTAAAAAAGCCCAAATTCTGCCCAAATTTGATTAAATACAGAGACTATCGTAATCTTAACCTCAATGATCTGCTCTTAGATGCTTCTACTCAACCGTGGGATGTGGTTACTAATGATCCTGATGTCAATTCAATGGTCGAGCATTTTACTTTCCTCATTTCTAATCTTCTCAATAAACACTGTCCAATAGTATCTAAAAGAGTTTCTAAGCCACCTGCTCCCTGGATAAATGATTTTATTCGACAACTTCAAAAAAATAGAGATGCTGCATTTCGTAAAGCCAAGCGCACCAAACTCCCTGATGACTGGGCCTGTTACAAAAGACTCAGGAATCAAACCCAACAACAGATTAGAAACTCTAAAGCCAGGTATTATTATACATCTTTCTCCCAGAAACAATCATCCAAAACTTTGTGGACCAAAGTTAAGAACCTAGGTATCGGCAAGTCTAAAAATTCACATCAAATATCCATCAGTCTCGACACTATTAACAACTTTTTTGTGAATATTCCTATAAGTTCTGCAGGTGCCTTTAACCATGTTGCCGATATCACATCTAGACCACTTGACATGCCAGAAAATCTGTTTTTCTTTTCCCCAGTTAGTGAATTTGATGTTCGCAGGGCAATCCTAGGGATGACAAGTAACGCAGTCGGCGCTGATGATATTCCTATTAGGTTTATTAAAGACACTCTACCAGTTACTCTCCCGGTACTAACATTCATATTTAACAGATCACTAGCAACCTCTACCTTCCCCTCCATCTGGAAATCAGTCATTGTTCGCCCACTTCAGAAAATTTCATCTCCCAATACCCCTTCTGATTATAGACCAATCAGCATTCTTCCTGCCCTTTCTAAATGCCTTGAAAGAATAGTGCATAATAAATTCTCAGTTTTTTTGGAAGAGAACAACGTCTTATCGGATTTTCAATCTGGGTTTCGCGCGAAATATAGCACTACCACTGCTTTGTTGAAAATTACTGATGACATCCGCCGTGCAATGGATAACAGACAGGCCACCATTTTAACCCTCTTTGACTTTTCAAAGGCGTTCGACTGCGTATACCATCCTCTTTTACTCCTGAAACTGCGCTTGGCTGGTTTCTCTGACAACTGTGTTGACTGGATTGAGTCCTATTTATCTGACCGTCAGCAGTGTGTCAAAGCTGGTGACAAATGTTCTACTTGGGAGCAGATTACTAGAGGTGTTCCTCAAGGATCTGTTCTTGGCCCACTACTGTTCTCAATTTACATCAATGACATCACAGAACACATCACTAACTCACACTACCATCTGTATGCTGACGACTTACAGATTTACTCTCACTTTAATGTAGACGAGATGGATACT